AAGCTGAAAAGTCCTTGACTAGTGTAAGCACTGCTTAGCAACAACTAAACCATCCATGTGTTATCAACGTTGTTCTCACCCTAAATCCAAAACACAGCACGGTACCAGCTACTAGGAAGGAAATTAACTCTATCTCTGCTGAAACCAGGACAGATTCATAAGGGTTTAGGGTATCAAAATAATTGTGTATCTAACCTACAGTAATAAACTAATCCACTGCATTTATAAGCTGTATGCTGGGTCCTGCTTTCTGGTGGCTCCTGGGATGTAGAAAGCTATAGATGCCAGCAGAGGGCTAGCAGCCTTCCCTGCTGTATAGGGGAACATCACTGCCTTTGTCCAACGCAGCAGCCCTTGCCAGCCTGCTCTGCACGGTGTGTCTCCAGCTGTGCGTTGCATCCAGGTGTGACCCAGAAGAAGTGAGGGGTTCTGCCAGCCATTCGAGTCTTGCCGTTTGGTCTAATGATAGAACTATCTGACTTCTGAAGACCTCCACTAAAGCAGTTTGGGTATTGAACCCAATATAAAACATTCTCCCTCCACCAACAAAGATCTTGTAATCTTCCCTGCAATGTCTGTTGTGAAAGGTTGTGTGGGATAGACTGGGAGATCTTCTGACATCTCTTCTAGACCTTAATCCTATCAATCAAAATGTGATAGAGCCACCTAAGAGCTGCACTAGCTAGGCCTTCTAAGTGCAATGACGAGATTTAGAGGCACAAATCGCAATGCTGTGAGTTTGAGAGCAAGGGACATCCTATGATCCTGTGAGCTTAGGTACTTCCCATTTAAAGTGAGCCTAAACATCCTCTGAAGTCTCTGCAGGAACTGCATGGCTGGAAGATCCAGTAGATCCCTGAGTACCCACTTTTCGCTGGCAACCTTCACCTTTTGTCCACCTACTCCTCGGACCTCTGATCCAGTGTGGGAGAGAAAAGGCATCACGGAATTATTCTTTTCACAATAATTTTCTAATGTGCCTTCTGCACACCTTCCAGGCCAATTTCCACCACGCATTCATTATGGCCTTGCTTGTCATTGAGGCCTGTTGCCATCCTCTAGAAATCAGAAAGCTGGATTATCATTGCCAGCATCATCCCTAGCATTTATGTTTATTGGGTGGGCTTTGAGAAAACCAAGCTTGTGCCAAGGCATGTTCTTCAGTCCTTACAGAACATAAAGGAATTACATGTAGTCATTCATCATAAAGGCAGAGTATGTTCCAAGAGTGTCAGAAGTTGAGTTTCTTGAAATCAGTAGGGAAGCCAGAGATGTTAGGCTCTGTTTGATGGACTGTACCACTGCATTTAATTTGGGCCCTGCCTCCACCTCTGGTTGAGTGACTTCCAACCTTCACAGATACCTTTGGCTACAGGATCCTGTAACCTTTTTAGTACTTGTGTCAATCTGTGTAAAGGAGATTTCCCTCCAGCTTTAAAATCCACTTCAAGGGGTTGTCCTGAAATATAAATAATTTTTCATGGCTAAGAAATTTTCATATAAAGATGCTCTGATGAGGGAAATCCAAAAGTAAC